CTTTGGCCTCAGCCGCCGCCGAGCCGCGCCCGACTCTGCTTCTCTCCCTGGCTTTTTAAGCTCCCGCTGGGAGGCAGAGGGTGGCCGCGCTGCGGGCACGCACCCGTGCCCTCCGGCAGCTCCAGGGCAGCAGGCGAACGCCCCAGCGGGTCACTGCACAGCATCAGTGTAGCTGCAGCCAGCCCCACTGACCCGCTGTGGTCGGGACTGGACTGCAGCGCTTGGGTGCCCAAACGCGCGTCGCTGCAGCAGGGCAGCCCGAGCGGGCCCTCGGGCACTTGTGGCAAGAGTGCCACAGGCTACTTCACTGACGTCTCTTCCTGCAAAATCAGAGCATCGGGCCCTTTTTGGCCAGGGTGTGTTCTGTTCGGCTCTGTCGTCACATGGCACCTCAGCCATAGCTTACATCCACTGAGCCGAAGCTCAAATGCGTGTATTCTGTTGCTGTTCCCTCAAGAAAACCTTACACCCAAGACAATATTAGAGAGGAGTAAATTGGGCATTTCAAATAGAACAGACAAAATGGTGGTGGTGGGGTGAATAGCTACAGCATTAAATAAATTTATTAGTCATGCATCAGCAGCACTAGGACAAGTTCCACGCAGAATCACTGTAGCAAAATCCACCACAGGCCTCCCCATTCGCGTGCTGCTTCATAACGAACTCTGACCTGCACATCCAGCAGGTATTTATTTTCTCACAAATAGGGCTGGTCTTTTGAAATTTCCCATTTCTTAAGTACTGGTCCTGGTGTCACTGGTTTTTTCTCAGCTGTTGTCACTGCAGAGCCTGAACTGCAGTAGAGGAAGGAAGAGAGAAGAGGCTTTAATAACACTGTGAAAACCAGACTCTGATTTAATCAGGAGTATGGGTTTTATTGCAGAATCAATTAGGTTGGAAAAGCCCTTTAAGAGCATCGATCCCAACCATTCCCCTAATCCTGCCACCACTAAACCCTGGCCCTCAGCACCGCCTCTGCCCGGCTGTTAAATCCCCCCAGGGCTGGGGACTCGACCCCTTCCCTGGGCAGCCCCTTCCAGCCCCTGACAGCCCCAAGGGGAAGGAATTGTTCCCCATGGCCAACCTCACCCTGCCCTGGCACAACTTGAGGCCGGTGCCCCTCGTCCCATCGCCCCTTCCCTGGGAGCAGAGCCCGACCCCCCCGGCTCCCCCCTCCTCTCAGGCAGTTGTAGGGAGCGATGAGGGCTCCCCTCAGCCTCCTCTGCTCCAGGCTGAACCCCCCCAGCTCCCCCAGCCGCTCCCCAGCAGCCTGGGGCTCCAGACCCCTCCCCAGCTCCGTTGCTCTTTGGATGCTCTCCAGCTAGAGGGGTTTGCTAAGCCAACTTCCAGCCGCCTCACTTACACCAGGCAAGACACAGGCGCAAAGACTTAGCTCAGCGTTCTCCTACCAACCTGTGGAATCCAACACCGCTTAACCACAGGAGTTGTGTATCTCTGGCTTAAGTCAAACACAGCTTAAA